CTGAAGTCCAACCCTCTTTCTGCTCATAGCTTTTAGGTAAACTTGTAGGACAGTGTGAGGTACTTTCAGTCTTTAATTTCACATAACACAGAGAACTGTGGTCATGGTTTATTGGATGCTTATTTGCTAGGCACCATTCAGAGTGATTACATAATAATTCATGAAACAATCCCATGAAGTGTAGGCATCTTATTATCCCCATTTTACAGGTGAAAGAACTATGGTACAGAGAGCTAAAGTAACTTGTAAAGTCATATATCTTTCTCTGATTATCTTAAGATTTTTCATATTATAAAGTATCCCTTCTAAGCTAGATTAAAAATCTGTATTGGATTTGAAAAAAGAGATCCAGAACAATTAAGTAAATGTTGATTTTTAAATGTCTGAAGTCCAACCCTCTTTCTGCTCATAGCTTTTAGGTAAACTTGTAGGACAGTGTGAGGTGCTTTCAGTCTTTAATTTCACATAACACAGAGAACTGTGGTCATGGTTTATTGGATGCTTCTTTGCTAGGCACCATTCAGAGTGATTACATAATAATTCATGAAACAATCCCATGAAGTAGGCATCTTATTATCCCCATTTTACAGGTGAACTATGGTACAGAGAGCTAAAGTAACTTGTAAAGTCATGTATCTTTCTCTGATTATCTTAAGATTTTTCATATTATAAAGTATCCCTTCTAAGCTAGATTAAAAATCTGTATTGGATTTGAAAAGAGATCCAGAACAATTAAGTAAATGTTGATTTTTAAATGTGACTCTTAAGCAAAGAACAAAACAAACAGCATTTGTTAAATATCAAATACATTTTTCTGGAGATTGTAAATTGTCTTTCATTTATAATGATGCCAAATAATTTTCTAAATCTTAGTTATTCTTTCACTGATATGCAAGTAATCAGAATGTTACTGGAATGTAAGCTGTTCATTTAAAGAAAAACAACTCTATAGTTGTTTGAGTAATCAGAATGTTACTGGAATGTAAGCTGTTCATTTAAAGAAAAACAACTTGAGATAAAAGATATTTTCTGAGTCACTGTGGAAGCAAAAGGGCTACAGTTTTAAGAAACAGACTCATAGAAACTTCATTAGAATTTGAAAAGTGTACTCAGTTATGATTATTTTAACCACTCAAATATTTATTTGAATACTGGAGTCCCTAAAACTCACTGAAGGCTGTGATAGGTTTGAGGCAGCTAAGGTGAAACTGATAGATATCTACTTCCATTGAAAGCTAATTTAAAAATGAGAATTGGAAGCGTCTTCAGAGGTACAGTCCTCAGTGTTTGTTTGTTTTAGTCAGATTTGTGTGTTCCAAGCTTTGAAAAAATGAAGTAGACTGGAAAATTCAGAGTTCATTGCCCATAATGAAAGTATTATTTTGAGAAAAAAATTGTTATATAAATATATTAAAAATTTAGTCATATAAACATATATGTTTGTATATACTAGCTCATGATCTGAAGTGCATTTATTACTTTATGTCATGGTCAGAATTTTGAAAGCTGCTGCTCTACTCCAACCACTCATTTAATTTTTTAGGTGTAAAAAAAGTGAAGATAAGAGAAGTTACATATTTTGTTCAAGGTCTGAGGTATATTTGGATTTTTTAAAGTTTAGTGTTGAAGCACTGCATGATGGAACAACTAATAATAGCAGAAGGCGCAGGGCCGGCCCAGTGGTGCACTCGGTAGAGTGCGGTGCTTGAGAGCGTGGTGGCGCTCCCGCCCAGGGTTCAGATCCCATATAGAGACTGGTCCGCTTACTGGTTGAGCGCGGTGCAGGCGCGACACTGAGGGTTGCGATCCCGTTGCCGGTTGCGGTACGGGCGCAACACCGAGGGTTGCGATCCCGTTACCGGTCATGAAAAAAGACAAAAAGGAAAAAAAAAATAGCAGAAGGCGCAAATGTTACTCTTCCTTGAGCACACTTAGCCTTTTTGAAGCTTTCTACGAAAAAACCCCTTTTGAAGCTTTTAACATAAATTGGTTTATTTGATCCCTACACACTCCTGCGAGCTCAGCATTATTTTCCATTTTTTTGTGTGAAGAAATTGAGGCACTGAAGGCTTACCTTGCAAGTAGGTGGTAGAACTAGAATTTGAACCTTGTCTAAGTGTAATTCCTGAGCTTTTAGTCATTACGCTAATCAGGCTTTTATTTGAAAATGTTTACTATCTTGTTGTAATGTATCATGAGTACTTATTTTTATTTCTTATAAGAGTAGCAGTTCATTTTCAAATAGCGATTACATCTTTTTCTTTTTTTGGTGACTGGCTGGTATGGGGATCTGAACATCCTGACCTCTTCTTTTTTTTAAACTGCTGACAGACTTCAGGTTACGTCCAGGCTTAAAATGCTGTTTTTCGGGCCGGCCCGGTGGCGCACTGCTACAGTGCGCCGTTTGGGAGTGCGGCGGCGCTCCTGCCAAGGGTTGGGATCCCACATACAGACTGGCCGCTCACTGGCTGAGCGAGGTGCGGGCGCAACA